TTATCAAGATGAAAATATTTCCTCCATTTCTAGTTTCCTGAGAGTATTTATCATGAGAGGATGCTGAATTTTGTCAAATATTTTTTCTGCATCTATTGAAATGATAATATTATTTTTCTTCTTTAGACTGTTCATGCGTTGGACTACACTCATTTGTTTTTGAACTTTGAACTAATCTTGCATATCTTCAATAAATCTCACTTGACTGTAGTATGTAATTCTTTATATACATTTTTTAATATAATTTGCTATTTTGTTGGGGATTTTTGCATGTGTGGTCACAAGAGATATTCGTCTGTAGTCTTCCTTTCTTGTAATGCATTTGTCTGCTTTTGGTGTTTGGATAATGCTGGGCTCAGTGAATGAGTTAGAACATGTTCTCTCTGCTTCTTTTTTTTCAGAAGAAATTGCAAATTCTTTGGGATATTTTAGTAGACAATATCTATGTCTTTTATTTCTTGTTTTTCCTTTACTGCAGTATAGTATTTCTATACTATATTGAAGAAGAGTGGTGAGAGTGGACATTCTTGCATTGTTTCTGATCTAACGAGGAAAACATTCAGTCTTTCACTATTACACATGATGCTAGCTGAAGTGTTTTGTAGATGCCTTTTAACAAATTGAGGTGATTCCCCTTATTTCTAACTTGTTATATCTGGTATTACATGCTTTTTCTGTATTACATACTTTTTCTGAGTTTCATGTAATTTTTCTTCTTTAGCCTGTGGATTAAGCTGATTGCTTTTCAAATGTTGAACCAGCTTTGCAATCTAGAATAAATCTCACTTGGTTATGATATAGTATTCATTTTATACATTGTTGGATACAATTGTCAATATTTTGTTGAGGATTTTTGATTTTTGAGCCTATATTCATAAGAAATACCAGTCTGTAGCTTTTTTTTTTTTTTTTTTTTTNTTGGTACAATCTTTGCCTGGTTTTGGTATCAGGACAATACTAGACTCACAGAATAACCTAGGAATTGTTCTCTCTTCTATGTCCTGAAAGAGACTATGTAAAATTGGTGTTAATTCTTCTTTAAATATTTAGTAGAATTTTTCAGTAAAACCATCTAAGTCTAAAGATTTCATTTTGTGGAACCTTAAAATTATGAATTCAATTTCTGTAGTAGTTATTGAACTATTCAATCATGTATTTCATCTTGGTTAAGTTTGGTTTAATCACTTTTGGTTGTTAATTTAGATGTCAGTATTTCTCATATTTACTAAACAAATGACTATAGCAACATTTGCAAAAAAGAAAATGCCTTTAGTCTAGTGCCCCAATATAATACATACAAGATTCACAGACAGTTTATAGGCAAAAGTTCTGCAAAAGCAGACAAGCGACACATCTTAAAATGTTTAAAAAAAAATAGAAAAAGCAGAGTGTATGTGACAAGAGCATCTTCCAGGTGATATTTGGAGAAGCTGTGTCACTCCATGGTAAGGAAGCTGTAACTGATGGTTATTAGTGTGCAGTATCAACGTGATCCTGAGTTTAATTTTATATAGTTAAGTCTAGTATAAGAATGCAAAAGAGATAAAATGGGAATATTGCCATTGTCCCTCAATGGATGGCTATGAGTTTGGGGACCAAAGTCAACAGACATTTGCCTCCTATTTTTAGAAGTCATTCAAAGTGTTTGAGACAGTTCAGCTCACAACAATGAAACCAGTCAACCAGACAGCTAGAATTTCAGAGTTATAGTATGTCCCAGGTAAAGAGTGTGTGAAACCAAATTAATAGCACATATGCTTAATCTAATCCAAGTAGAGCAAAAAAATAACATTTCATTATAAATAATTATTTTATTATCTTAGTAAAAGGCAAACTCTTCTAAAGCCCCCAGAAAGCTAGCAGATTCAATACCAGTCAGACCTCAATATCTCCACACCAAAGGACTATCCAATTCTTGAATTGTTCTGAAATTTTATAGTAGTGAATATGTTTGAAGTAATAGGCTATTGACTTGGATATGCGATTCTTCTTTCTTAATCACATTTTTATTTTAATGGGATTTGTTGTCATGTAATTACAGTCCAAAATGTGAGAATAAGAACAGTTTCAAACCACTTTTGTATATGCATGTGGTAGTTTCTTGAAAACAACTGTTTTATAAATGAGGTCACTTCTAACTTGAGTCAATGAACTCTCCAACAAGAAGACAAAGCTACTAAAGGAAGAACAGTAGCTGAAGATGAAAATTAGCACCATCTCTGGAGACAATCTGACCAGTACTGAGAATGACTGCTGAATGCCAACCATGCTGAGAAATGTAGAGGACACAGGGTGGACTAAGGCATTGCACTTGCTCTCAAGAGGCTTGCTCTTTTCTAAAAGGAGCACATCTGAAAATATTGAAATCACTTCTTCTTTTGTGAAGGATAGAAAACTCAAAAGATAAGTCTTCTCCTGTGAAGGTCACTAATCTTTTTAACTCTTTGACATTGGAGGTTGAAAGACTGTTAAATACTACTTAATCCAATGCCCACATTTTACAAACACAGAAATCCAGAAAAATGAAATGATTTACCTAAGACTGGGACTGGAACCCCAATTTCCTGACTTCTAATCAAGTACTTTTTATTCTACATATTATGTTACCTCTCTTAGAGTTCAATGGACATTCCTCATTTCTAGCTCTTCCCATAGTTAGGCTGTACCAAACCACGTCGATTAGATTCAGATGAAAAGAGTTCATGCTCTGTTCTTCTCTCTGTACACTCTCATTTCAAAACGTCTACTTCACAGTTTCAATTCAGCAAATAATTTTTACAAATTACTAAGGACTTATTCTGGCTTAGGCAGCAGAAAGACTACTAAACCAAGTAAGGCATACTCCCTACTTCTGAGGAATTTATTGTAAATATAAACATCTAGAACAATATCCTTAGACAGCAAACTTATCTATGTAAAATTTACTATCATCACTCAATCAAACTTTCTAATGGAAATCTCCTTTTTAAGTCAATGATGCCTTAATTCTCTATGCCCCAGTATAAAAATTTTGAAGCTCTTTTTGCTACTCTGGCATGAAAGTGAGAGTATCTGGTTTTTAATCTTTGTTCTAACACTAACCAATTAGTTTTGAAACACTGGCCAAGTCATACCTGTCTGGGCTTAATCTCCTCAATCAGTAAAACAAAGAGAACACCAACCTTCTATGATTCATTTCTTTTCAAATTCAATCAAATCCAAGGTGCTGGATATAATCAAGTTATTTTATTTCACTTCTTTGCATATTTCTTGAATTCCTCTCTCCTCCTCTATGTTCATCATATCCAAGCTCTTAATTCCTGGATTATTGTTAACAGCTTTTAAACTCTTAGGTGTACATGTTACTTGCTGAAAGCAATTTGAAGCAAGATTTAGCCTGGAGGTATACTGGTTAGACTAGAGGCACACTTTTTAGAATAAAGCTCAAACTCACACTAAAAGACTGTCATTCAAGTCTCTCCAAAAACTGGCTTCAGTTGGCCTTTCTGCTTTTATTTCCAACAACTCTTTGTCCTCGTCCATTCAGGCTATAAGAAAACACCATAAACTGGGTGGCTTTATAAACAACAGAAATTTGTTTCTCACTGTTCTGAAGGCTGGCAAATATGAGATCGGGGTGCCAGTATGGTCAGGTTCTGGTGAGGGTCCTCTTCCAGGTTATAGACTTTTGACTTCTCACTGGTGTTCTCAATATAGTAGAAGGAATGAACCAAGTCTCGAGTGCATATTTTACAAGTGAACTAATTCTATTCATAAGGGCTCTACCCTCTTAACCTAATCACCTCCCCAAAGGCCCCACTTCCTAATACCATCACCATGCTGACTAGGTTTCAACATATGAGTTTTGGGGTGGCAAGGGTAACAAACATTCAGACCACAGCACTCCTCAACATACTGCCTTTCCAAACACACCTTCACATCTTTAATGTTTTTCCTGTCCTATGTAAAGAGTTTTACTTTTCTTTGTAAACTTAATGCTAATGGTTTTATTAAGCCCATTTTCTTGTATGGATTCAGTAATCTTTCCTTTCTCTTAATTCTTATACAAATATTTACAGTATAAATAACAGTCCCCTTCCTAAGTCCCTCTCATAAATATTTTAAACATAAAGAAGATGATATGCAAAAATTCTCAACCAACATTAAAGGAAGTATACATATAAAGGTAGTGTAAACAGTGTAACTTATTTTCTTTATTATTTCTTCTTAATTTCTTTAAAATTAAAATAATCAACTGATTGTTAATCTTTTTGGTAGAGAATTAATATGTACCTCTAAATTAGAGTATTTAATAAGAAGATAAAAATACATTTTCTTAGTTATAGGCTACTTCTGATACATGAAGATGTCTGAAAAAAAGTATATGAACTCTTACCAATTAATATATGTCTAATATAGGCAGATATTCAAACAAGCATTGAGCAATGTTATATAAATGCTGGCAGGGTAACTGGCTCCATTATTAGATAAACTTTGAAGCTATTTAAATTTCAGTCATGAAACAATCAGTGCCAATCTGATCAAATGATTGCCAAAGTTAGCATTAACCGTAGTAGAGAAGCATTTGAGGAAAACTAAAAAATGTTATTTTCTCTGTTTCAGATTCTCTTATTGCTGCTTGAACTCTAATTTGAATACCTTCTTCTAAGAAAATGGCCACAGTTAGAGGAGTAACCGGGTTTCATGTGGCAGAAAGAAAGTAGTACTGTCATATCCCATCAATCCTCTTAGCACCCAGTCTTAGAGAAAATTCATTGCACTCTCTTCTGCCAATTCCAAAAGAGATTTTCCTAAGAAATGAGTTCGGGCAATTTTAGTTCCCATCACTACTGTCCATTTGTCATAACTGAAAAAAAAATCCATTATATTACAAAAAGATTCAGTTATCCAGTATTTGCTAATTATGATTGAGACCAGAAACATACAAAGTTTCAAAGAAAACAATTGAAGAGAACATCTGAAAGTAATTTCCCTCCATTCTTTGTTGTTCTACTACTCACGGCAAATCTTCCAAACTGGAGGCTTCATGTCTTGGATCCAAAAGATCATGACCACATTCATTGTAGATTTCCAAATAGGAAATGTGCGTTGTATATATTTTGCTGCTGTCCTGATTGGGAAGGGGAAAGGTATTATTTATTAGTTATAAATAATGATTCTGCTTAGATGAAGATGAACACATTTAGCACTCAGTTTCCTCACAGTTTCTCTCTTTTTCTCTCACTTTATATGGTTTACATTTTCAGTTCATGACACTTTCAAGTTGCCAGTTACCATATGCATGAAACTTCTTTTAATGGCCAACACCCATGATTACAAGCAACTTCAGTCTGTTATTTTTTATTGGTTCCACATTATACATAAAAAGTCAATATACACTTAGAATGAGCCAACTTGGTTGCAGAACCGTATAACACACCATTTTTCACTTTCCAGACCAAAAAAAAAAGGTTACTAAAAAAATAAACTTACATTCTGTGAATAGTCTATTCATAAAATAGAACACAGATCATTACTTTGGTTTAAAAATTTCAGAAGCAAAATAGTTTCCACCTTTAATCATAATTCTTTTTCTACTTTTCTAATATTCAATATTTGCTGATGATATAAATAGACAACAATGAACGTGAGTTCCAGAGGACAGAAAATAGCTGATTAGTCAGGTATGAGTGGACATTAATAGTTCACTGCTGATACCTCACCTATGGAGTTAATTTTCTTGGCCCAAGAGGGCAAATCAGGGATATTTAGCAATTAGTTAAGAGAGAAATGTTTTTGGTGGGTCATTGATGAAATGCAATGACATAGGCATCCATGTAACGAGGCTAAAAGTCAAGGTGCCTGGTCCTAGTCTCAGTTCTGCCAATAGACAAAAATGACCCTTTCCCTTTGAGGTGGAATAAAGTACGGAATTTTCAAATCTTGAGAAAGTTTAGTTTTCAATATAAAATATCAAGCAGTAGCACCTTCTTCTTGTTCCTCCAAAAACACTAATGCTTCCATTTCTGCAAATTTTATCATGCTTCTCATAAGGGGAGAGTATATTTGTGTCTTGTGTCCAGCAGGTTGTCAGGGTGTCAGAGTATATACTAACAGAGAATTTGCTTAAGATGACCTTCCTGATCGATTCTCATCCATATCCAAGGCAATCCATTTAATAGATGTTGTTCAAAGGGAGCAAGGACCAAGTCACAGAGATAGCAGAAAGAATAGTGGCCTATAAATAAAAAGCTGGACTCCTACTCTAACTAGAGGTGAGCCTCTACCAAGTCAGGCCTTAGTTTTCAAACCCATTAAGGTGAGGAAGTTGGCTAATAAATCCCTATGTGTTCTTCAGTGTAAAATGAATGATTATTTGGTTCTAAAATGGCTCCAATTATCCAAATAAAGATACTGTCATTTCAGAAAGACAAAATGATACATAACAATTAAAGCAACTCTTAGCCTTCCATGACTATAACAAAAACACTAAAGCTACAGCTGAAATTCTATATTTTGGTGTTTTGTGAAAGTGACAACATGGACTGAATTACCAAGAAAATTTTTTTCAGCTTAATGCTGAAAATTCTTCTGATGTGGGTGACTCTAATGGTTATCCCAACAAATGGCCTATTGTTCACATTAGTATCCTGGTTTAGTAACGGTACTATTTCAATATAATTCTTTGGGTTATAACTTGGCTTAGCACAGGTATCAGAGACGATAAACACTAAACAGACTTTGTGTGGCTGTTCATGTAATCCAGTGTTTCTAAAATATTCCATGGAATATTCCAGGAAAACTGTGTTCCATGGTCAACATATACATAAACTCTGTCCGTCTCTGGAGCATGTTAAAGGCCCCAGGGGATATTTCAGCAACATGCTGAGATCCTGTCTAAACCAACATAGTTTTAAAATGTATCCAAAATATCTGAAATATCCCAGAGATTATTACGGTTTGAGATTTTAGTATACACTTCTAGTTCTTCTTACCATCAGATAAAAACTGGGTTTAAATATTGGATCTCCATTTATAACAGAATAATCTCACACTCTTACCCTCAGTTGTTTCACCATAAAAATGGGCACAATAACCCTGATTTTGCATTCTGTTGTAACAGAGAAATAAGATTCTATATTTAAAATCTTACAAAACTGTGTGGCCCATAACAGATACCAATGAATCATTGTTGCTGCTGTTGCTATTATCACTGTTGGAGTTATTATTATTATTTCTGGGAGCCTTCTAATGGAGAGTTCGGTATATGAATATAAAAGCAAAGGAAAATGAAAGCAAAAAGGACAGACAGCTTGTATGTTTGTCTGCAGTGGAGAAAAATCTCTTCTTCCAGAAATTAGAATAAATCATAAAACATCAGGAAAATGGCAGGTCCACTGCCCCAAGAAGATAGGGATAATGCCTTTGGCTCCTCCAGCTTCTGCATTTTCTGGATTTTTATTGGAAAATACACTTAAAATTCGCTGAGCTATGTGGCAAGCTACCTTTCCTTATTACTCCTTTTTCATGTTTAGGAATGCCAGACTGTAATGTAACACACATGTTTCCTGCAGACAGCCTTTTCTTCTGCCCCAAAACAAGTTTGAACCTCTCAATACTCAAAAATAATGAGCAGTGATTTCTAAAATAAATAGCAACAAATTTCTTCCCTTAAAATCAGTGAAAATGTGCTCCTATCATAATCATAGGCATTTCAGGACCCAGGATGCACTGGGCTCTTACTTTATCTTGAAATGAAGACTTTGCATAGGTCAAATGTTTCCTTTAAGAGAGCTCCATGTACCTCTCTAAGGCAATCCGCTGAGACCTCTGAGTACCAGCCTGCATTTTTCAGCTACACAACATGAGCAAACTCCATGATGCACTTCAAGTTACCTGGCCAGTTTCACTTCAGGTGTTTGATTATAATGAATGTACTGTACCCCATCATGAAAATATGTTCATTTGCAAAGAGTTGCCCTGGCTTTAAATTGGTCCAGTGGGCTCTCTACAAGTCTGGGAAGTTATTTAGGATCATTCAGAATGAAATGGAGTTTACAGTAATGTCAGTGACAGACAGATCTAAAACAGTCAACCTGAAAAATGGTAAGTACTAAGAAGATATTTAGAAATTTAGATCTGTACTTTAGTAACCACAAATAAAATTTTTAAAGGGACAAAACATATTTTCCTTTGGGAGAGGATGAGTTTATTCTATTTAACTTAATCAGGGGAATTGGCTTCATTTGTTTCAAGAGTTTCAAGCATTCTCTGAAATTGGTCAGGGATCACCTGGCCACATTAATATCCATATATGGGTATTACTGGCTGTGATAATAACTATCATATATTGAACATATACTGTGTGCAAGGAACTGGACAACGTCTTTAAACACGGTATGTTCAGCCCCTCAGAGCAACTCCGTAAGACTGAGGCATTAACTAACCGCCCCAACGCCACATGCTGTAAGCAGTACACTTTCTCAGAACCAGATTGACCTGCACCAATTCCAATGATCTTTCTAAGACAAACGGCTTCCACGTTAGGCCACAGCAATGACAACTATTAGGAATTATATTCCCAGTTTGTGAAATGTGGAAACAAAACAGGCAATGTCAGAAATAAGCGAGTAAATGAAAAAGGGGCCTTGGATCCAACATATATGCTACACTCAATCTTTTCTCATCCAAATTTTCTGGCATGCAAAGCTGGCATGTTTAAGCTAGAGAAAGATGAGCTGAACTAATGGATAATTGCTACTTTATGGATGGCAATTAGAATTATGCAGATCTCAGCAATTTTTTCTCATCTTTGCAACTCAAAATGCCAATATATAGTCAAGAAATTCTGGAGTGACTGTTATGTTGACCTAGTTAATACATTTATTATACAGAAGTAATACAACCAAGGAATTGCTGGAACTAGTGGGGACACTGGAGATTCTCTAGTACAATTCAGTCTCTGCTTTCACAGAAGGGAAAACTGAAACTCAGAGAAAGTATGTAACTCATTATAGGGAATTTGTTTGAGCACAACCACCAAAAAAAGCCTGTCCGAGGTACAGTGACAATACATGTAATGGAACAAAGCAGAGTCATGCATCAGGTGGACTTGGGCTAGAACTCCAGATCAGCTACTTACAGGATGTGGACCCAGAGGAAAATATTTAACCTGAGGCTCAGTTTTCCCAGCTATAAAATGGTAAGTTTCATCATATGTTCTATCAAATACTGGTAAAACTGATAAAGCTACTGGCATTTTGAGGCACTCAATAAAAGATACATATAATATAGATAGAGATCCCTTTTATACAATAATAATAATTACAATGGTATTTGCACTCTGGTAAATTGCTCTGGGCTTCTATCAAGTGTAAAACGGCAACAATCATACTATCCTATTTAGTGTTTTAGCAGCTCAAAGGAAGGTCTGCTTTGATAAGAAGGCATTCCTCAGTTTCTTGAGGAATGTAAGATATGAGTTGGTAAAAGGTGTTGTCTGCTCTTTCAACCTTCGTTGAAGGAGCTCTCCTTGAGCCTTTGCTGAAATAGCAGTCCTTTAAAGAGAAGCACCTTCTTCATTTTCACTTCTCCAGCAAAATCCCAACCTTTCCTTAAAGGTAAAGGCCAGAGTTAAGACACAATAATACTTTATCATTTAGACACAATAAAATAAAATGTCATAGTACATTTCCTGCTTTCAGTAAATTTTTGCTGAATATATCAAATACAAAATGACATGAACAAAAAGTTTCATACCTTTCGTAACTGTTCAAAAATGTATGACAGTGTCCTTGGGATAATGCCTCGGTCACTGTAACGCTCTGCACCCCCTGTGATAGTGAATGTCTTCCCGCTACCTGTTTGCCCATATGCAAAGATGGTACCATTGTAACCTGCCAGGAAACTGCAATAAAGAAATGACACACTTTTAGTATCAACATGGCTAACTGCGTATGAATTAAATGTCTTGTATCCTAATAATCTTACAGTGTTTAATTTTATTAAACACTATACAAAAACTTTATAGAAGTATCTATTAAAAATTTATATATGTAAGTTTCTAGCTATAATTTACATTCTTATCTAGGAACAGCAGCACATCAATCCTGTTCCCTAAGAAAGGATGTATAACTCAAATGGCGTTCAGTCATCTTAAATATATTCCTTGTCTTTTCGTATACACTTGACTCGAATCAAAGAATATATTGAAAAAATGTCCTGGGGAAACACCTGTAATTTGGCAAGCTGTCAACCTGACACCTGGTACTTCACATGGTAAATACCCACAATGGTAGTCACTTCCTAGAACAGGAGGAACACACTCTGTTTGCCACCATGTATCCTGTAATGTAATTCCCTACTTAATACTAAGCACCAACTGAAATCCTCTAGGATTTCCCCTCCTGTCTTTTCTTAGAATGTCTTTTTGGCAGAAGATGCTAGTCCATATATATTCTTCAGTCCTGCAGAGGAGCCCTTGATTTGATGGTGGTCTTAAGAACCCAAAGGCTGGATCTTCTCAGCTTTTGAATATAAGCTTGTAAAAATATAAGCATGGAATGAAGTAGACTTTCAAAACTGAGTCTTTTATCTATGCTACATGGAACAGTAAACTTCTGTAGCTTTATGTTTGTTTTTTTGTTACAAGTGGCTCCCTTATCTCCAAGATGTTTTCATCAAACCAGCTATGACCAGCTATGTCAATCAGCTATTGGTACCCACGTTGTGGGTAGATTTTTTGACGGATGGCTCCTCTGAGTTCACCCCTTACTGTTGGCATTAGAAATACTGCTCTACTACTTCAGTCAATGTCCTATCTACAGTTCCATATTTCATATGCTTCCATGCCTGTGTTGAGTGATCTATCATTATAAGGGCCTCCTAAAACACAGTTTTGACTGGAGGGTATTCTGAAGTGGTCACTTAAGTCCTGAGCAACTTGTGCAACTATTATACTAACAATACTATATTCAGCAGCAAGTCAATGCATCTTTTGCTGTGTAGGTAGAAAGTGTTATCAGTGCTGACAAATTCAAAAGGCTTAGTACAGGGAATGCGCAAGAAAGTATTGTTACTATGTGATTCAATGTTCAACTTTTGAGGAGGTTAATCACTTTTCTTCATGTGTCTTTACCTGGAGACAATAAATTGTTGAAATTCCCAACTTTTAAGATGTTGGAACTATGACGAATTTAGGTGTATAATTACAGAAACTTCTTCCACAACAGAATGTGTTACCAATGAAATACTGATGTCCCGTTAGCAATATGGTTTGGACATATGATATTTCTTGGCCATAAGTGCTCTAGGTAAATGAAGCCTAAAATTTTAAATATCTAACCTTAAACATTTTATTGATTCTTGATAGAAAAAATAATGCAAAATATACTAGGCTTTATATGTCTTTAAAAACAAAGAATACAGAGAACAAATTAACATGTTCATTTTGATATAGATATAGCCTATGAAAAGTGAGTATGGTAGTACACTACATTGGCGCCTGCTGATTGTTATGTCTACTTTTTTATGCTAAAATCCTCTTTCTCACTGCCAGTTGTCCTAGTATGCCTGTCTCTAATGCGTGGTCTCCCTACCCCCATCTGCTGTGGAATGGAAAAACAGATGGCATAGCTTCATAGAACACTGTAAAATAAAAAGGCTAAGGCTTGACCTGTATATACTCCTATGGCCATTTATTTATTACATTGCTACAATTAAACATTAAATAAGGAAATATAATCAGGAAAATTTGTTTTCAGTCCCTTCTGTAGAGCCTCCATTCCAACTCAATCTTGTAACCACTCTTCATTGGACACTAAGCCTTTTCATGTGCTTCTGGTATCATCTGCCCCAAGGAAAAATACTAGTTATAAATAAAGAAAGAGAAATCGTGGTGTAACAATCTTTGAAATCCATTACTCCACAAGAACAATAATATCAGTGGCAAAAATTGTCAAAATCAACCTTTTCAGAACTCTGGAAATTGTCCAAAGGCTCACACCAATCCAAGAAGTGTTTATGTAAGACAAAACGCTAAACTCAGTAGGAACTGTGAGCTTTGTGGTATTTTAACTTGAACATTCCCAGCAACTCTCCCTAGCTCCATGGTAGCCTTGAAAAACAATAGCCTTGAAACACTGGAGCTGTGAAATCTAGCAGCCTTGCAACCACTAAAGGGGGTAGAATGGATTTGGAGCTCCTCAAAATGCCCCATCCTCAAAGAGCTACCACTCTCTGACTCATCTGGGAGCTCTCTGGAAAAGCTCCACTCACAGTACTTGCCTTTGTTAGATTTGAGTCAGAGTTCACTCAGCTTGAGCAGCCCTGTCCTAGGGATGTTTGCTGAAAAAAATCAGTGGCAAGTGTTTAACATCACAGTTGGCAAAGCTGCAATACCAATGAAATAAACAAGAAGGTAGCCAAAAACTTAGAAAAAAATCTGTGAAATATGATGTATATCAGGGGCTTCAAAAACCTCTGACATACTCCAGGGAATCAGGAAGGCCACACATGTGCAGGATTATATGTATGCCCAGAAAATACCTGAGGAGGACATTATTATTCACTTCTGGCTGGCCTTGAGACTGCACTAACAGAAACTGAGAAGAAAGACAGTGTTACAGACTTCCTCGGCATTGAAGGTATGCCCCAGCAAGCATGTAGGGACCCTCGTATGTAGGCTGGGAGAACGAGGAATTCAAGGAATTTAAGGTAATTTATTTCATTATCTTGCCTAAATTTACTAGCTAGTTTGTTGGTGATAAATTTGCTCAGTTTTTATTTATCTTAGAATGTCTTAATTTCTTCTTCATTTTTGAGAATAATATTGCCACATATAGAATTCTCTATTTGCACATGACATAATCTTGTGTGTAGAAAATTCTAAGGAATTTACTATAAAATTATTAGAAGTAAGAAACAAGTTCAGCAGGGCTGTAAGATACAAGTCTTAACACTGTGTACATAGCAATATTCCCTAAACTGATGCTAGCTTACTTGTGGAAATTGACAATATTCTTCTAAAATATATATGGAAAGTCAAAGGAAACAGAATAGCTAAAACAATCTTGAAAAGAAAGAACAAATATAGATGATTCACACATCCCTATTTCAAAACCTATTACAAAGCTAGAATAATTAAGATGGAGGGATACTGGCATAAGGCTACACATATGGATCAATAAAATAAAATTAAGAATCCAGAAATAGAACCTTATATTTATGATCGCTGATTTTCAACAAGGGTCACAACACTATTCACGGGAGGAAAGAATGGTCTTTTTAACAAATGATCCTTGGACAACTGGATATCCACATGCAAGAGAATAAAGCTGGATTCCTACCTCAGACCATGTACAAAAATTAACTCACAATGAATCACAGACCTAATTTAAGAGATAAAAGTTAAAAGAAAATCTTGAAAGAAAATAAATCTTCATGACCTAAATTAGGCAATGGTTTTTTCAGATGTGACATCAAAAGCACAAAGAGCCAAATAAAAAAAATAAGCTGCACTTCATCAAAACTAAAAACTTTTGTGTTCAAAGGACACAATCAAATAAGTGCAAAGACAACACAATGGAGATAATGTTTGCAAATTATATCTATCTGGCAAGGGACTTGTCATCATATCCATAATCTGTAACATACAAAGAAATCTTACAACTCAATAAAAAGAAGACAAACAGTCTAATTAAAAAGTGGGCAACAGATTTGAATAGACATTTCTCCAAAAAGATATGCAAATGGCCAATAGCATATGAAAAGATGTTCAACATCATTAGTCATTAGGGAAATGCAAATTAAAACCACAATACGATGCAATTTCACACTCACTTGTATGGCTAAAACAGAAAAAGGGACAATGAGAAGTGCTGGTGAGAATGTGGGCAAATTGGAACCTTCATACATTGTTGCTGGAAATGTAAAATGGTACAGCTTCTTTGAAAAACAGTCCTACAGTTCCTCAAAATGTAAACCTCATATTACCCAGCTAGATACATATCCAGCAGTATTAAAAACATGTGTCCACACAAACATTTGTAATGAATGTTCACAACAGCATTATTCATTATTTAGCCAAAAAGTGGAAACACAAATGACCGTCAACAGATGAGTGGCCAAACAAGATGTACTGTATCCATTCCATGGGATAGTATTTGGCAAGGAGAAGACAGTACTGATACATGCTACAGGAAGGATAAAACCTGAGAACACATTAATTTTAAAAAGTCAGTCCAAAAAGCCATATATTGTGATTCTATTTGTAGAAAATGTTTAGAATAAGAAAATCCCATAGAGATAGATAGTAGGTTAGTGTTTGACAGGGGCTAGAAGGAAGGAAAAATGGAGAGTGACTGCCAATGGGTATGGTATAGAGCTTCTTTTTGGGGTAATAAAATGTTTTAAAATTAAATAATGGTGATTGATGGTTGCACATTTGCACTAAAAACAACTAAACTGCACACTTGAAAGAGTAAATGCTTTAATATTTGAATTACATCTCAACAAAGCTGTTTCAACAATAAAAATAGTAGAGTCTACACTAACTTGGTAACAACCAGATGCGTATACTATCTTTTCAGTAGTACTTTTAAAAGACAGAGAGAATAGTAATTAATAAAAGGAATGAAAAGCTAGTGATTAATTTCAGCAATGAACATTTTTGTTAAGAAATATTTCTGAGCTTCCTAAAATCAACAATGCAGGCTACTGCTTAATCCATCTGTGCTAGAGACAGCCCTGACATGTAAATAAATCAACGCTTTACAAATCTAGGGTTTGATCATCAGAAGAAATTTCCATTGTAGAAACTCTATCCGTTTTTTGTTTGTTTGTTTGTTTGTTTGTTTTGGCAAAATGCACTTTTCCTAGAAGTTTAAATTATAAAGCTATTTTATCATT